TAATTAATCTAATTGCATCTCATCGTCATTTCTCCACTGGGAGCCTCATCCTGGGGCAGCCAGGAGATCTTCACCCTGCCCAGCCAGGAATTTAATTTGGGAACTGCTCGTTTTAGCAGCAAATGCATCATTTTGTCAGTGATAGGCACTGAATTTACTGACAGGCTTTGCTGTCACCTGCAGGGTTTGGTGACACCTACATGGGTTGGTGTCACTTGCAGGGTTTGATGCCACCTCCACAATGCCAAACAGCCCAAGGGACACCTACCTGTGCTCAGCCAGGCCAGCCCAGCCATGCCAATGCTCTGGGATGACCCTGGCAGGGCCACAGCAGCAGGACACCCCTGCCAGAGCATGGGGAGCATTGCCAGAGCTGCCCCAGGAGCCAGGAAAGGCCCCGGGCACTGCAGGGAGTGTGGCAGGGCCGTGGGATCGGGCAGGGGGCAGAGAGGAGGCTGCAGGAAAGAGGGAGGGATGCAGGAGGGAGGCCAGGGGGATGCATTGAATCAGAGGGTTTTGGGAAAGCTGCAAAAGGCCTCAGAGACAGCAGAGCTGTGATTAGAGCTAAGCAGTAGCCATGAGATAGGTCAGCAGAAAAATTATTTAAAAAGTAGTAAAGACAAATAGACCAATGGTCTGTGTATTAACGCTTGTCTAGAATAACAGCCCAGTGCAAGTTCCACAGCAGCCCCATCCTGTTTGTGATTTGTACACAGACCCCAGACAACGATAAGCACCGCTTCCTGTGTCACTGTCATATTTTCTGGAAAAATCCCTTCACCCAGAGTTTTTCTCCTGGGAAGCTGAGAAGCCACAGAGAAAAAGGAGAACAGTTTTTATCTCATTTGCTTCTCCTGTGTTTTGCTCATGTGGGATGTGTTTGGGGATTGTTTACCCAGAGGTGATTGTTTCATTGAGTTCTGTTGTGAGTTGTTTTCACTCTTTGACCCATCTGGGGCCAAGCTGTGTCAGGACTCTGGAGAGAGTCACGAGTTTAATTATTATCTTTTTAGCCTTCTGTCTGTATCCTTTCTGTATTCTTTAGTATAGCATAATATAATGTAATATTAATACAATGTAACATAATGTAATGTAATACAATGTAATATA